GCCATTACAAGACATGACATGACTTACTGATATTTAGTGTGTTTACCACACTTACTGAGTGCAAGCATACCTGCTACATACAGTGCCTGCAAATAAGATCCAGATGTAAAAGTGATCCAAATGCTACCAATCAAAAAAGTAATGCTAATAAAAATTGAGTAGATGGTTAATAATGTAGTATATCAGTAATTTTAAAGCCAGCTTCTCTCAGTTATTGGGGCATTGAGTGGACCAAGGACCAGCAGTTCAGTGGTTTGGATGAGCTTGGGAGCAGAACCTGTATCCATGTTTTCTAGCTTTTCTTTATCATATACCGATTTTCAGTAGGTTTTAACCCTTTGACTGTGGATAGCTTTAAATCATACTATGGCTGTGATGGAGTGAGTCAGGTATCATTTCATAATGGCATACCCTGCAGCACCTCAGAGGGAGCTTATCTCTCCAATAGTAATGACATCCTTTGACATCACTTTTAGATACCTTCAGTAATTTTAAATACTTATTTATAGAATGCAGCTACATAGGTGCCTAATGTGCTTGAAGTATTCAATGAGCTGGGTGCAACTGGAGAAATTTGAATAATTTTTCATTATTCCTGGTTGTTCTTAGCTTAACTTGTGGCTGAAATCAATGGATTTGGCAGTATTGACCTTTATGAAGTCATACATGCACTGAACAACAGAGGATGTTGTCTGACTCAAATGAACCCTCCTGACTACATGCCAGAATTATCATACCTATGTTTAAATTGATCCCCAATGTTTTTCATGTTGACACAGTTGCCATGATGTATGTATGATGATAATGGATCACATTTGCATTCCAATCTTATTTGTAGGTACTGTACTCGCCTGTATATTCTATGAAAGTAGGGATTGATAAGGATTTTTTTGGCTTTTGTCATGTTTTGGTGAAAAGTCATAGATTTAACACCTTTATATTTTTACTGGAATCCCTCTTACTTTGAACTGGATGATATTGTTCATGGCTTGATGAAATTGATCTTTCTAATAGGAGTTTTTGTAGACCAGGATTGTCTTTGGAATCTTGAGTTTACTGCAAAAAATTGTGTAATTCTGAATAGTAGACTAATTTAGTTTTGTAGGAAAAACTATGTTAATAAGTTAAACTACTTGTAAGACTCACCCAGATTGCATTTGGTAACAGGTCTCTGACAAGGAATTCAAGCCAACAGTTGCATGGCTTGATAACTTCATGCGACGGTTTTGCTTGTCAAGAAAAAAAATGGGATTCCATAGCTCAGCAATGTTGAAAAGGAAAGTAAGTATAAATGATGATGTAAAGTCATTATAGGATTCTTTAAAGTGATGAGATTACTTCATGGCTGAAAATTAATTATGTACTGTAGTAGATTTGATAAGTTAATAGATGTCTTTTTCTCTAAGGTTTATATAAGAAAAAGCCTGTGCCTAATACTTGTCAGAGATGATAAAGGAATTGATGAATTTGATATAAAGGTAATAGTGTTTTAGTTCAAGTTCTCAAATCAACTTCAGGAAAAAAGGCATTCAAATTTCTGATTTTAACAGGATAACGTCCAGCCACAGCCTCAGACTCCAGCCAGTGGAAGTGGCTTGACTCAAGAAGATGTTTTTAATGTTTTGGGATAAACATGGATGGGAATGGACTCCTGAAGAGGAAGGCAAAGTGGCAGCCAGTGAGAAGATCTTAGAAGATGTAATTGCTGAGACAGAGAATGGAGTCAATGGAAACCAAGGCATAGAAACTGATTGCCAGACAAGTCTTTTGGATTCAGTTGATAAAAATTGTTCATAGAAGATCTCTTTGCATCAGATTCAGAAAATGTAGAGAGCAAAATCACATCACTAGACCAGAATGTTACTCCTGATCCAAAGAAAGAGCAAGTTGTATGTGAAGAAATAGAACAGCTTAATAAGTTGGAAAACCTTGCAAGTCAGATGGTGCAAACCAAGATTCGGATGATGACATTATAATAGAAAAAAGTGTATTGAAAACAGATACACTTCCAAAAGAATCCAAGATGGATATACAAAGAAACATAAAAAGGAGCAGGATTCTTCAAATGATGAAGAAAAAATGACAAGGATTCTTCAAAGGAGTGATAGTGGTAAGATTTTAGTATATGTTAGAAAGACCATAAGATATTAGTACAATTTTCCTCTTTATTTAGACGTGCATTTTCATGGTTTTGGAATGAGCATCAGATTGTTGGCATTTGATTATAGATAAGAAATGCTTTCTTGTGTTATTAGTAAATTATGATAAAATTAAAATACTGCTTGGTTAGTGTATTGATAATGTGTTTGTGTTTTTCTTTTGTATCTTGCATTTTAGTATTTCAGCTATTTAAGAATTATTTGTTATAAATTTGATATACTTCTAGGTCTTCCAATCATTTGACATATCCATTATTCACTTCCAGTACATAGCTTTTGCTTCTTTCCTTTTACTATATATCTGCACATGAACTATTTATTCATGTAGTCACTCAGGACATTCAGGTATTTCCAGAACCATATGACTACTTCTGAATTCTTTTGTCATACACAGCTCATTCAGAAATGTAATTATTATTTCTTACTGTTCCAAATTGTTTTCCTTCAAAAATACTACTACTATGGAAATACTGGAATACCTACTGGAAAATCATGGATGATCACATCACTGGACATGGGCTCTCCCACAATTCTTTCTTCTATCACTAATCCTGCTTGAACCCATCTTACTAAAATAAAATTCCATACCCATGATGGTTACAATTTCACAAATTATGTTAATGGTAGGAGAATCCATCTCAACCCAATAACACCGGGTAAAAAATTTGCAAGCAGACAGGATCATGGGTTTATTAGCACACATTGACAGATGTAGCATGTGCGTTCATGCAACCTGGTAGGAATTTGGTTAAGTGGCATAATAGTATGACAGACTGGCAGTCAGTTCATTGATTGGATTGGTGTATTAGTAGTTAGAGACCAAATTCTGACATGTTCTTGTTCAGTTAAACAGGCTTAGGAAATCAAAAAGCTACCTTGATTTGCCAAAATGTGAATGAGACTGGCATCTTTGAATGCCAGCTTTTTCTTTCTTTCTTTTCTTTCTTTCTTATTTCTTTTCTTTTTTTTCTTCTTTTTTTATGTATCTTTTTTTTTATTTTCTTTTTTTTCTTTTCGTTTTTTTCCTTTTTTAAGTTGTGCACATGTGATGTGCAGTCAAATACTATTTACTAAACCCCCCTTATTTCACTCATTCATGACAAGTGACAACCTATCATGATATGACAAAACCTTGACTCACATCTGTTAACATCTAAACATGTCATATACAGTTGAAGTTGTGCTAAATTACAAGCACTAAAGATTTGTTACTTATTTGGGCCTTGACATGAAGAGGAACAGTCCTGTTTTTTAATCTCGTTTCTCCAAAAATGATTCATGTTACAGCCTAGACATTGGAAGGCAGGATAAATGTGGGAATCATAGCTAACTGCATTATAATTCCTGGCACAGGGAAATCCCACAAGGGTCAAAAAGAATAACTTTGCATAATGGTAATGTAGTAAGAGAAATCCCTGTCACACAATTAACTTTTAAATTAAATGAAGTGGTGTTATACTGAATCAAATTTTCTTCGTTTCCATTTGCCTCTAGATGTAAGTTTTGAATTCAAGTTTGGCATAGTATAGAAGTGGTAAATTGTCAAGTATTGAAACTTGGATCCTGTAATTTTGCAGTGTTTAAGATTATATCTGATTGTCGATAGGTATATGTGACACTATTATTTTGTTTGTTCTTGTCTTATTTTTTCCCACTTTCAGTTTGCACAATTTACAGTGACTGTGACACATTTAAATGCATGATGGAAACCTCTCCTTTTGTGGTGGAATTTATAGGTAATTTTTTTTATAACATGTAATTTAATATTTTCAAACAAAAGTGAAATTGGTAAAACTTTCATTCTCTGTAGGTTACTTCATGTACATTTGGCAGTGAATTCTGGTAAAAGATGTATTGTGCTCATTTATGTATTCTAGAAGTTGTGATTTTCATTGGATACGTTCTTGAAACCAATACATCTTTCCCGATTTTGCCAGATAAAGACAACATGAGAGGAAAGAAATCCACAAAAGGAAGAGGCAAGAGTAATGGTTCATCAGATGGAGACTCTCAGCAGGATGACCAGGCTGATGCTGGAGGGAAGAAGTCCAGGCAAGTGGAGGATGAGATGACAATCAAGTATACCAAAGAGGAGAATGAATATTACCGAAAGAACATTAATGGTAAGAAATCTGGATATTGCTCTTTTGTTCTTTGTATTTTTTTTTTACAGTGTCCTATGTGTATCTGAGAATGCAGTTCGTAAAGAACTGGAGATATCATTGTGATCATGTATTTATTTATTTGTTACAATATATATATGATTTTTTCTTCTTTTTCTTTTTTCATGTAGATCTTCAAAAGAAGCTTCATGATGCGGTGATGAGATGCACTGCCTGTAATGAACAAATCAATCATCAGATTCGATCTTTGGTCTACACCCACCCTGCTAGGAGTTCTTTCATGCAAGGTGATTTGTCAAAGCAGACTACACTCAATTTGATAAGTCTTGTATTACAAGTAGTAGTAGTAGTTTTTTTTAATACATATTTGAAGTATTTGGATGATTAGAAACACTATCCCTAATGTAGATAAATGTAGACTTCATGAAACAGATTTTTTGTGTGTGTGTCTGTATTTTCATACTTTATTTGCTAGATGTAAAATGCAGTTGGTTTTCAATTTTATAATTTTGTGTGTGTTGATTTTGCAGAGATGTAGGAAATATTATGGAAAGGTAGATTTTGTAAAGATGAAGAGGGCTATGATGAGTACTGCAGATTGTGCGCAGAAGGAGGCGACTTACTGTGCTGTGAGCAGGAGGGTTGTTTCAATGGATTTTGTAAGGTAAAGCTAGAAATTGTTATATAATGTTTATCTTTGAAGTCTTTTTGCTTGAGTCTGCATATTAAATATGTAGGAATATTGAACTGATAAATACTGCAAAAGAATATATGTATCAGAATTTCTGTTTCCTTTGTCTTTTTTCATATATTGTAAAATTTATCTCAAGAATAATTTATTTGTACTGGAACTGTATTTAATTTTTTCTTTGAAGCGCTGTATAAAGCGAACCATGGGTCGTTCTGAGCTGAAGAATGCAGAAACAGCAGAGAACTGGGCATGCTATGTTTGTGACAAGACTTCTATGACAGAGCTCCGAGCACTACACAGAGCTATTCTGAGTAACTTAGAGGAATCAGAAGTGCAGGATGACAATCTGTCAAGGTAAGGGAATTCTGAATTTATGCATCCATGTTAAGTATCTTAACCCCTTGGATCTGGGTGCTTCAAGTCACACGAACCAGAATACGAACATTAGGCTTAGGTGAGCAGTTGTTCTACTGGGTGCAGGCAAACATTCATGTGCAGTGACAAGACTAAGCCTCCCCTTTGCAGTGTTATTTTCTCTTTTTATGCATAAGCATTTTATTCTTTTTTGCCATTTTCCAATTTCCATATTTGTCATTTGATTTGTTTTTATCTAGATAATAATAGATTGTGCTGCATATCATCCTCTAGTTAGTACTTAACTTAGTGCAAGAAAAATGAAAGTATGTAATATTTTATTTATGTCATTTAAACTTTTTTTCATAATCAATTTTTTTGTAATACAACCAACACTGCCAGTTGCAGTGTTCAGGAATAGGATGCTTAGCCTGGAAATGGTTTCATTTCTGGAGCCAGCTCTCTTCTCTGCACTCACCCTGGCCTACAGCCAAAATGCTCACAATAGCCAGTTTGTGCCACAGCCAGAATTTCCCAAGATGGTATTTTCAGATCACTGCCCCTCAAGCCAATTTTTTTCATAACATGATGGACATGTCATCAGGATCAAAAGGGTTAAAAGGAACAACCAAGTAACTTTTAAGATTGTATGGTTTTATTGCATGAATAGTAATGGTGATATTGAAGATAAAACAACCCCTTTCCCCTTTTCCTCACACACATGCCACATGCATGAGATTATTGCAAAAATAGATTTTTAAATGCATTGTAAGATATTGTTGAAAGTCCCAAGCATCATCAAATAGAAGCACAGCTTTCACACAAATAAACATTGATGTCATATAAAGGGTTGTGTGCCATTGTTACCTGAGCACTGATTGTACCCACAAAATTTACCCCTTTTTCCACTGTATGCAACAAAACCATGTAAATTAAATGTCTTATTTAGGGGAAGCTGATCCTTTTTACTACCCAGAATATCTAAGAAAAAATAAATATAAATAAAGAATCTAAATGTGAGAGGACATCCTAAAGAAGATTTTGATATTCCTGAATTCTTTTCATAATGTCCTTGCATATGAGATTTTTAAGAAAAAAAAATTGTAGGCTTGCACCTCAGAATGTGATTTTTGATAGTTATATAGTGCAGTTTTTCTTTGGACAGTTTTTGGTGAAGCAAAAACTAGTAGTAACATTATAGTTATTTTTTAAAGTTATGCTCATATAATGTATATTATAGTATAGATAATATATGTAATATATATATATATATATATATATATATATATATATATATATATATATATATATATATATATATATATATATATATATATATACACATACATACATATATACATATTTCCACGTAAGAATAGTAACTAAAGCAGGGAATGGCAATTGAATATTATAACCCCTACGATCTGGATGATGTGACCATCATAGCATGAAATTGAGTTATTGATCACCTACAGAAATGGTTTGTGGAAAGAAACAGTATTACCACCATCTGGATACAGCATATCAGATGACAAACATAGACATTAGAAGATCTTAGAAAAGCTAAAAATGCTTATGCAGAAAAAGAAAAATAACATTGCAAAGGGGAGGTATGGAATGTTATCACATCACACGAGTGTTTGTGTTTGCCTAACCTACAAGCCACACACCTGTCAGAGTGGCTGCTCAAGTAAGTTTAATGCTCGGATTTTGGGCCAAGTGCTGGCAGCAAAGTGCTTGGATCTAGGGGTTAATCAGTATTATTGATGTCATAATACTGGCTGAAATTTTAAGAGGAGGGGGAATGGGGGTTTTGAGGTCAAATGTAGATGTATATGATACCATAAATTTCACACTGATTTATCCAGATTTAATACACATATAGGCATAAGATAATTGATATGCTAATTTTTGGTATTTAATATTTTTATACTTGTATACTCCCATAGCAGTGCACTGTGAGTGTTGGTCTGTAGTTTGCTAGTAAATACATTGAATATGTATTCTCTCTTTCTTTTCCTTCTCTTCTTCATTTTTTCTCTCTGGTAATTCAGAGTAATTTTTAGATTTAATTTAAGATTTCCCTTATATTTTTTGTTTGTTTGTTTGACAGGAAGGAATTGAATAAAAAGAACTTACTTTCAAAATTTGAGCTTCTGAAAAAGAATAGGAAGGAAAGAGCAACAAAGAATTCTCCCAAGAAAGTCGAAAAGAAAGCAGATAAAGGACAAATCTGGTGATAGCAGAGGAAAGCAAAACCAAGCTTGGCTAAACGAGAGCATTGAAACTATGGTTGATATGCTTTCGTTATGTTTAAAGAATGTTGAAAAAATAAACAGCTCTTGGAAGAACTCCCATTATTCAGCAGAGGGAACTGAAAAGGCAGGTAAAAGAATTTTGAAGCAACTCACAGGGATGATGACCAATTTTGAAATCCTTGAAAAAAATGTTTCAGTTGAAGTAAAAAAACTGGCTTCAGAAGAAAAGGTGGAAGAGATTGATTCCACTGAGAACAAAAGCAAAAAGAGCAAAAAGGAAGCTGAGGAAAGTACCACAGCATCTTCACCCAAAAAGAAAAGCAGCTTGAGAGAAATGGACATGGAAACTGAGGAACAAGTTACACCCAAAAGAAAGAGGAATAAGTCAAAGATTGATGAAGATGCAGAGGAAGGAAATAGGACCAGCTGTAAAAAGACTGCAAGTCAAGATTCTTTGAAAACATCAAGCAAAGATGAAATGGAAGTAGATGACGCAAGCAAAGATTCAAGCAAGGCCAATATCAGATCAGAGGATGAATGTTCAGCCAATATAGATGACCCTGTGGAACAGGATGAAGTGAGGAGTAATGGGAGTGATACTGCAATAGAAGAAAGTAGAGGCAAAGGTGACTCTGAACCTGACGATGAGGCCGAGATAGAAAAGGCATTAGCCAAGACAAAATCATTGTCTGAGGGTGAAGCTGAAGAGGCAGATAAAGATTCAAGTATCCTTTCCTCTACCACAGTTGAATATGTTGGAAAAGAAAGTACAGAAAAATGCAAAAAAAAATCAAGGGCAAGTTTGTCAAAGAAGAAGGATGGTGAAGAAAGTGCTGATACATCAGAAGAACAAAAAAACCCTCTTTCAAATGCAAGGAAGACCAGGAGAAGCAAAAGTACAGAGGAACTGAGTGAGGTGAACATAAAGAAGGAACCTGACTCAGACAGTGAAAAAGAAGTGAAAAGTAAAAGAGGAAGGAAGGCCAAAGATCAGAAAAAGGAAGAGAGAGATGAGGCAGATGAGAAAGGCTCGTTCAAAAAGGATGAATCTGAAGAAGAAAAAAAAGTGATTAAGAAAGAGAAGGGAGATGAAGATAGTGAGGATTATGATGATGAGGCAGATAACAAAGAAAATAAATCAAAGGGAAGAAAAAAGGTTCAGAAGGAGGAGAAGCAGAAGAAAGAGAAAAAGAAAGTGATTAGTGATGAGGAAGAGGAAAATGACTCTGAGAAAATACCAAAAGGCAAGAAACAGAAAAGAGGAAGAAAACCCAAAGAGGAGGAGAGTGATGAGGAGACTAAAAAGAAGAGTAAAGCAAAGGGAAGAGGAAACAGAGAGTCAGAAGATGGAGATTCAAAGGAAAAGAAGAAAACTCCGAGAAGAAGAACAAAGAAGAGACGGCAGGAAGACAACGATGAGGATGACATGTTGGGTATTGGAGATATGTCATCCAATAATGAGTCATCAGAAGAGGAAGATACAGATACAGAGATGAGGAGGCGGAGAGAAGAGTATGAAGATCATAGTGTGAAGAAAAAGAAGAAAAAGATGATGAAGAAGGATACTAAGAAGGAGAAGGGATCTGAAGATATAACAGACAGTAATGATGAGAAGAAAACCAGAAAAAGTCCAGTGAAAAGTAAGGGAAAGAAGAAACAGGAAGAGGTGAATGGGAAAGAAAGTTCAGATGAAGAGGAAGCAAATGATAAAGAAGCAGGTGAGAGTAAGAAAGGTAGAATTAGTCCTAAGAAGTCTGATGAACAAGAAAAGAAGAAGAAGAAAAAGGAGAACAATGAGGCTTTCTCAGAGTTGTTAGCAAGTGAATCTGAAAATGAGAAAGGCAACTTAAGTGATGAGAAGGAAACCGGAGCAAATGATGAACCCATGGAATGCAGTCAAGGAGAAAGTTCAGAAGAGGGTACCTCGGAAAAGAGGAAACGGCAAGCAGGTAAGAGCAAGGGTGAAGCTGGTGGCGAGATTATGAGCACCAGTAAAGAAGAAAAACAGAAAAATAAAAAAAAAGGCAGTACACCTATTAAGGATGACAACCAAATGGCCATGGCTTCTCTCCTGGAAAGTGAGAGTGATTATGAACTAGAGGACAAACCCAAGCCTAAGTGTAAGAAAAAGAATTTCCTCAAGAAATATGCAGAGAAAATGGAAAAAGTGAAGCACTTAACAGAAGAAGAGAAAGAAGAACTAAAGGAGAAGCAGCTTGAAAGCAAGTGCCAGACCAAAGTGCAGAAAATCAGCACAGAAGTCAAGAGCAAATTGGAGAAAGATGAATTCATTGACGTTAAAGAATTCCCAGAGTTCAGGCGGAAGAAGGAGACAGAGCGCCAGAAACAAGCAAAGCATTATGATGGTGAAGCTGATGAAGAAGATTCAGATGAGGAATTTGAAAAGCTCATGAAGTAAGTAGGAACTGTTTTGTATTTTGGTGGTTTTGTGCTCCTGCATTCATATAAGTCAGGTGATCATTTTATCATTTGTATCTCTAGTGATATTTTATTCCATTTTTTTGTTTACTTTTATTTTTCCTGTATTTTTTTTTTTTTTTTTTTTTTTTTTTTTATTCATTGTTTATTTATGATTTTATAAATGAAATTATTTTAGGTATCCTAGATATAATTTTTTATATTAGAGACTTTTTTTTTCATTTCTTTACAATGAGACAGTTGACTTCTGAAAAGACAAAGAATATGAAAGTTTAAAACTAGTACCAGAAGACATAGTAGGAAGTTTTTGACACTGATTCAGCAGATTTGTACATTCCATTAGGAGGCACTTTTTATGGAAGAAGTGGAGTAGCTTGATGAGTATGGACCTTTTTATTTTTTTACTTTTTATTTATTATTCCCCCCCCCCTCATTTTTTCTTTGTTGGCATCTCTTTTCTATCCTCTCTTACTTTCCCTCATTCTGTACCTGAGTGTGTGTGTTTGTGTGTGTGTGTGTGTGTGTGTGTGTGTGTGTGTGTGTGTGAGTGTGTGTGTGTGTGTGTACAAAAGGTTATGAACCTCCCATATGGAATACTGGTGGGCAGAAGTGGTACTCTCAATATGGCTGTACTTTATTTCAAAGAGTTAACACAAGAGTTTAAATAGAACATGATACGACTGGTCAGTGCCTGATGGTACATGAGGGGCAGGCTGTCTGTCTTGTTGGGAAGTGAGAGAGGGGTCAGCTTGGGTCATCCTTATATCTGACCAGCTGGCGCAACTGGGCCGCATGCTGAAGGCATGGCCCACTTGCCATGCAGTATTCACGTTGTATACTATATTAAGGCATGCTATATGGTATGGTATATTGCTCACCGACCTACTCACACCTGGCCCTTGAAGCGTCATTTAATTTGTCTCGAGAATGACCCATCATCGGATCTAATCTGCTGGTCATCTTGTCTTTGTGCTCTTGTTCTTGGTCTTCCTTGTGTTGCTTCTCCTTGGCGGCTTCTTCTTGGTCCTCGTTGAATTTCTCCACCCTAGATCTCCACATGTCCTCGAAAGTCACTCCCAGGTCCTCTTCAACTTCGGAGCATCCAGACTTCCTTGTAATCCTCTTCTAGGTCTTACTCAGCGGCGTATTTGTCCACACATCTTCGCAGATCTCGTCCAGGTCCTTCTCGGCCTCATGCTCATACAGACGTCCTCGTAACCTGTGTTTGGCTCTACGGGTGTCTGGGCAAGGGGGTCCTTTCTGGCATCTGAGGGTGGCTTATTCCTGCACTGATGAGCTCCTTGAAGTTTGACCGGATCTACGGGTGTCCAGGCAAGCGGTGCTCTTCCACTTCATCCTGAGTGGCTAAATACCTGCACTAACCACTCCTGGTCCTCAGGCCTGCAGCAATCTTCTGGCGACGTTCATCCCTCAGTATTCTAAGGCGACAACTGTAGTTAGGTTTTTTTCGGTGCCGTGTCAGATTTCCATGGTCCATCTAATGCATTATGAACCAGATCATACATGTAAGGGCCAAGATAGTAAGAGAAAAAGAAAGACCAACAGAGAGGGAGGGATTTTGTACAAGTGGTACTAGGCAATTTTCTTTTATATTATTTGCAGTTTTAATATTTATTTCATTTATTTTCTTTTTTTTTCACATTTGTATTTTTCAAGAAGAAAATCAAGATGTGGAGACATAAGTAGAAGTCCACAAAGACCTACTTGAGCTGCTAATCATCTCAGATATGAGAATACATAAGGAAAACGACAATGGCAATTCGTAAGGATATACTTGAACCAATTGTCATATCATAGAGAAAGAAAAAAATATGTAGTTTAATATTGTGCATCATTGTCACTCATCACGACTGGTGACATTGCGGCAAAAGAGATAACCTACAACTATGACACAACAAATCCTATCAATAAAGATTTGTATTTACAGTGTCTGTCACTCTGCGTGGATGAGTGACTGTGTGTGCATGTGTAGTGTGAGTGTGAATAGCGTGAAGAGAGAGCAGGCTCACATAAATAATGAATCACTTGCACGAATATTAATGTTCATTTTAACAAAAGTTATAACCATTGATATGTTAATAATACAATATTTCAACTACCACATTGAACTCAACAATAAGTGATGGGTGATGGAATGTCCACAATTATGAATGGTAACATGAAAATTCTTTGCAAGCTTCCGCAATGCAAAGTTCCCAGTTCAGAAATATTTTTATGCTATCCTCGATTGTAATTTCGGATTTGCTACAAAATCTGATAGACGGAGGTAATTATTTCTCACTTATCCATGTACAGAGTACATTAGACTTCATCAACGGGAGGGTTTCCCTTTTTACCCAAATTACCAAATGAAATGAAGTGAACTGAACAAGACTCAAATTTCTATCGTTATGGTCTCTACTCTAGACTCAGTGATGGCGCTTGTGGCTATTTAGCTCACAAATGACATGACTGTCAGTATTTCCTGAACATACAAGCGGTAAAGTAAGGTGAGAAGGGTGTGATTACTAAGCAAATTGTTATTCTAGCTCAAAACACTAGTCCTACATTTCTAATCAGACATTATTACAGGCTCTTACTTACTCGAATTGTCAATCGAATGAGTTGTACTTTGGTTTCACAATATCTACTCTCAGACATCTGTGCGCAAATCTATTAGACATTACGAAACCCTGTGCATTCTGGGCATTATGAAAGGGGAAGATTTAAATGCTGTATTCATATAATGAATGTACACATATTGCGGTCAAAAGTAAATTCTTGCACCGAGAGAATGTTGCCAATTAGCAATGACGGCTTAGAAAACAGAAGTTTTCCTCCCAGTCCATGGCCGGATGAAAATGAAAGTGAGGTCTGCTAGGGGGAGGGGGTGTAAATGAATAATATGTCGTTCGTGAATGCGAATAACGAAATCACTAAGAGAATAAAATAAACCAAAAGAGTGTAAAACGAGTGAAATTCAACAATGAATTAACAAAATTCGTTCAAGAAGCGAATGGAGTACATACAAATCGTGAAGTAATTTTGAATTACAAGAAGAAAATTTTTAGTTTGAGAGAAATCACAAACACATTGAATTCGTTGTAGTTGAAATAAAAGTAAATCCCTTAAAACAAGAGAATGAATTGATTAATGAACAATATATATACTTGTGACCGGAGATTGTGTCATTGTGTCTAGAGACCATGACCTCAGGTCAAAATAAGTGACGGAGTGTATGTGTGTTGCCATATTCCTGCTACCGTAAAGATGTTAAATTTCCACTGTTAGCACTTTTAATCAGCAAAACCAACGCAAGAGTGACTGCACATTTGCACGGCCTAACACATATATGGGAGAAGAAAGGAAAAGAGGAAAGATTGGCCCACAACATGTCCTTTCGTGGTTTCGAAGAAATCATGATGGTTTTTGGTTGTTTCTTTCTTTCTTTCTTTCTTTCTTTTTTTTTCTAGATGTTCTACTGTTCATACACTTAACAACCACTGCACCACCAGATAGGAAAGCTTATAAACCTCCTGTATGGAATACTGGTGGGCAGAAGTGATACTCAATATGACTGTACCCTTTATTTCTAAGAGTTAACACACACGAGTATAAATAGAACACGATACAACTGGTCAGGGCCTGGTGGAAACCCTCGTTCGCAAGCCCTGGCGAGGCCAGCCATTGCACGGGGGTAGCAAAGTCCTTGTGGCAGGCTGTCTGTCTCAGAAGGAAGTGAGAGAGACCAGCTTTGGTCTTCCTTATATCTGACCTGCGGGTGCAAGGAAGCCGTGTGCCAAAGGCATGGCCCACTCTCCACACAGTATTCACATGGTATGCTATATTTAGGCACCACGTGGCATGCTGTAGTATGGGTGTGAGTGAGAGAGAGTGAGTGAGTGAGTGAGTGAGTTGAGGGGATGGGGGGCACATGTGCCTCTCTTCAGGAATACATGTATCAATCATGCTTGATTCTTTGTACCGAAGTGAGTACTTGAATGGGTGATTGACATTTCTCCCCACCTCCAGTGCTTATATTTTTATTCAAATTGTCCAAAAAATTATTATTTGAATTTATTGAATTTTGCTTAATTTTGTTACACCCCCAGAATTGTATCACCCTTTCACAGATTTAACAACTTAATTTCATCATGGCAGTTAATGATAATACTGATGTTGATATTAAAAAAAAATTGAATACATACTAATGATAGAGATGATGACCAGTAGAGCTCTTACTAACAATATCTGCCACCGTAGAAATCTAGTTAAGGTTTTTAGATATAGTGTTAGTGTGTATTTTTCTCTCTCTCACTTTCTAGCTCTCCCACCCTCCTCCCTCCCCCCCTCACTCCCTCCCTCCCTCCCTCCCTCCTCACTCCCTCCCTCTCTCCTCCCTCCCCTCACTCCCCACTCCCTCCCTCTCCTCCTTCCCCCACTCCCCCTCTCCTCCCTCCCCTCACTCCCTCCCTCTCTCCTCCCTCCCCTTCACTCCTCCCCTTCACTCCCTCCCTCTCTCCTCCCTCCCTCTCTCCTCCTCCTCTCTCCTCTCCCTCTCTCCTCCCTCCCCCTCACTCCCTCCCTCTCCTCCCTCCCTCCCTCTCCTCCCTCCCCCTCTCTCCCCTCCTCCCTCTCTCCCTCCCTCTCTCTCTCCCTCTCTCCCTCTTCCCTCTCTCCCTCTCTCCCTCTCTCCCTCTCCTCTCCTCCCTCTCCTCCCTCTCTCTCTCTCTCTCTCTCTCTCTCTCTCTCTCTCTCTCTCTCATCTCTCTCTCTCTCTCTCTTCTCTCTTCTCTCTCTCTCTCTCTCTCCCTCCTCTCTCCCCTCTCTCTCCTCTCTCTCCCTTCCCTCTCTCTCTCCTCTCTCTCTCTCCTTCCCTCTCTCTCTCTCTCTCTCCTTCCCTCTCTCTCTCTCTCTCTCCTTCCCTCTCTCTCTCTCTCTCTCCTCCCTCTCTCTTTTCTCTCTCTCCTTCCCTC